ACCAAGACACGCCTCATTCCTAGAGCAGCTTGGAGAGGTGTCATGGTGTCATAACTGAATGCATACTCTTTATCATAACAACGGAGATTTATTATCTGCGGGATAAACGACAGAAAAACTACATGATAGCAATCTACACTTCTATTTTAGGAGATTGTAAATTTAGAACCAAAAAAGTCATGGGAAATCAAGGAATTCTCAGTCTCACAAGAGATTGAAATCAGTATACGAGAGCTCAGTACTCTGGGGATTTTACCAGGTTCGGGTATGCCTGGATTTTTTTTTCCTAGTAGTAGACAATCTCAAAAATAGCTGTGTGTAAAATAATGACACTTGGAACATCTATATCAAAGCCTCACAGAGAACTCTTCAACAAAACAAACAAACAAAACAATCTGCGTTCAAGATAAGAAACATGAGCCCAAGATCTATACTGAAACGGTGGATACAAGATGACAGAACGAATTAGAACTGTCTGGCCTATACATATTTCAAAAATTGCCACAATACATTCATGATTCAACATCACCAACATTGTTTACCGTGAGTATGTTCGAAAGTTTCCCAACTTATTGGGAAAGTTAAACTCAGGACACCAAAATGCATGCACGTGTAAAAATATTCCATGTCAGATTAGCCATTGAATCTCAAACAAACCTGGTGAGTAAAAGAAAGTAGGACCTCAGGTGCCATCACTTGTATGAACCAGTCTCTGGTGTCATCACCCCGCCCTTATTCTGGAACCGAGCAACACCAAAATCTGCCACTTTAACGACCTTGACACAAATTTAAGCATATGGCAACAGTGGGGCAATTATATTGAATCAGTATGAATTTATGCTGCTTAAGCCCGAGAACCCTACAATCAACTAAAAGGAAACTTATTAGCCACTTTTAGTCACTTGTTGACATATGATTGGATTACTGGATCCCAGATCCAGGGCCTACGCACATATTTCATTTGTCATGTTTTTTTGTTAATGAAGTATCAAAAGAGAGATATGTCTGCAAGGCTCTTAGAAATAAAAATATCAAGGGTGTTATATAGTGGTAAACAGTGGCAGATAATTGTTCAGAACATCTTACAGAAGGGAGGAAAAATAATATTTTTCTTTTCAGTTGATTACCAACAGTACTGAAATCATCCGACTTCTATATCAGAACAGTGAGAATACTTATTAAACAAAAGGATCTGCTGATAACAAATGGTGTGATGGATGAGATCTCTATTGCAGCCTTATGGGAGCTCAAGATGACAATGATTAATGTTGCAATGCATCTATCTCCTGCAAGCAATACATATGCCACAAATAGCAGACTGATAAGAATATTGGCACATCTAACTTTGCCCATCAGTGTCCATTGTCTGCAAGGCTATTCGAAATAAAAAGATCCAAGGGTTTTATATAGTGGTAAATAGTGGCAGATAATTGTTCAGAACATCTTACAGAAGGGAGGAAAAATAATGTTTTTCCTTTCAGTTGATTACCAACAGTATTGAAATCATCTGACTTCTATATCAGAACAGTGAGAATACTTATTAAACAAAAGGATCTACTGATAACAAATGGTGTGATGGATGAGATCTCTATTGCAGCCTTATGGGAGCTCAAGATGACAATGATTAATGTTGCAATGCATGTATCTCCTGCATGCAATATATATGCCACAAATAGCAGACTGATAAGAATATTGGCACATCTAACTTTGCCCATCAGTGTCCATTTCCCAGTAATCTAGGAATTAGACACGGAGAATGCAAGTGCAAGAAAGTCGGACTGCAGTTACAGAATCGAGGTGCCACCCATATAAACATAACAGTATCCACTGTCATCAACTCATCTCACCCTTATTTGGAACTGAGGAACCCCAAAATCTAATGCTTCAATAAACTTGAGACAAATTATTCATCAAACATGAGAACAGTAATATTGAATTGGAGAGACGGATTGCACACAAAAGTCTGCAAGTAAATCAAAGCGACCTTATCATGTACACAAATATGCAATATAAGAAGTTTAAACAAGAAAGAAACATGCTACAAGGATGTTTAAATACTTTAAACTTCTAATTATATAGACCACCCTAAATCACAGCTTACAGCTAGCTATAGATCGTCAAACAAAAATATTCACACTACTCTTCACCATGAAACCTGCCACTGAAAAAACAGAGAGACTCAAAAGTCAAAAGAGCTCCTACTTTGTAGGATCATACTCTTAATATGTAAATAAATCACGATTTCTTAACTCTGAGATTCACTGAAATATACAGTGTCAGAACAGCAGAAAAAAATTTCTTTTGGATAGTGCAGTATAGACTATGTTCCAATCTAGAAGGTGACCTGAAGTTATCCCCAATTTCTCAAAAAACAGGAAGCTCAAAAGCACCAGATGTGTAAGATTCTTTTAAGTGACATCAGAAGTTATTATGCTGGGAAATAAATCCTCTGGAGAAAAAAACCTCGTTGGTATATATTTAGACTATTAAAATAAGGAATATGAGAACTTACATAGTATCGCTAGTTTGTACAAACTCATTGCTTTAATCAAGTAAATAAAATCACCTATAACCTGATAATCAGTTGAAGTTAATTCGCCCCATGTTCCATATGAAATCACCACAACTTGTTCTGCAATATGCTAATTTACCTTTTGGTTCTACAAGTCAATTCTAATTTTTCCTCTACATTCCAAGATTAAGGATTTCATTTCTACATTTTCAATGTTCACGGGCACCCTATGCAGCTAAAGCATGTGAAATAACTAAAAAGCAAGAAATAAACAAATAGATCCAATTATAAGACTAATGCTTACTCTCCGTATTCAGCCAAGGCAAGTGAAAAAACTAAAAACCAAGAAATGACTAAGAGATCCAACTCTAAGATTAATGTTTGAGGACATGAACTGGTGTGGAAGCGGAATTGAGATTTTTGAAATAAGAATAAATTCTACCAACTAGAAAATATGTATAAATTAATTATAAGGACTTTGTTATATGTACATCAAGAGTTACATCAACGGTTACATACACAAGCGGTATTATGTAATTGGTTGATGGAAATTAAACATGATTACACTTGTATATTATGTAACCCTTGATGTAACATTTGTTATACAAGTAGAATAATCTTAATTGTAATAAATTGGTCAACTAAAAAGCATACAAAACCTTGTTTATATATAAGCAAAATAATTTCCTAATCTTACCAACATAAAAAACTAAACTAAAACTGATGTAGTGTATAATCATGATTAGTAGTTTCCTACTATAATTGTGATTTATCTTTTCTAGTAGGTTTTATCTTTTTATTTTTATTTCTTGTTTAGAATAGAATTTCTTTTATTTACTGATTAGGATATGATTTTTAATTAGATTAGGATTTTATTAGTTTCCTTATTTTATGTTCCTATTATTAGTTGAAGTAGGAAATAATTTTGCCTATAAATATAGAGGCATTGTACACTTTTTAGATAACATCAATTATTATTCAATAACATTCAAGCAAGTTATTCCAATATTGTTTTTAATTACTACATAATTCTTATTACAAGAATTTCTAAACGCCTCCGCGCCAAAATTGGTATTAAAGCAAGGAAATTGCCTCAACCTGATAGCCGACGATGGTTTTGGTAGCAGTCGAATCGTTGATGACGAACGAAGGCTCGACAAACTCCAACAGCGAATCGAAGGGATCGACGAAACCCTTCACAACATCACGTAAATATTGATAGCGTTGAGTCTTGAAAGGAACTGTGAGCCCATGGAAAAGCAAGCTGACAAGACTTTGTAGACTTAAATTGCTATGAATGTTAGTTGTTTCAACAAGATTAAAACACGAGAACAGGTGGCTAGAGAGTTTCCTCGAGTCCCAGCTAAGCTTGAATACACCCAAGTTATTAAGGATTCTATGAAGGTTTATCGAGAAGATATAAAAGAGTTCAATTTGAAGTGCAATAATGCTTTTAGAACATGATGCACCATCAATAATAAAGTATGCAAGATGATAATAAATCATGAAAGTAGTGAGAACTTGGTGTCCAAAGTATTGATGAAAGCTTTAAATTTAAAGGTTGAAAAATGCTCATCTTGCTATCAAACTTCACAAGGACAAGATATTCAAAATATGGAGGTATGCAAAACTTCACTCTCTTCGAAAGTACTTCAAAAATGAGATTATTCGTGGTAGAGATTGGCTATTGTCATATATTTGAGGACAACCATGGTACTATGATGTAGATGCCATTTACATATGTCGAGTTAATAGGTATGTGTTTAGGTGGTACGACAAGAAGATTGTTTTGGTATCATGTTACGAGCAATTTGTGAGTATCAATGTAAATAAAGAGAAAAAGATTCATAATAAAAAAAGATGGTAAATAAAGATTCATAATACACATGATGAGGCTAAAAAAGATGTAATTCAAGATAATCAAGATTTTACGATCAATGATACTACAATAGAAGAAAAAAAACATGTGCAAGTTGAAAACCCGAAACTTGCTAATCCCCTATACATGAAAGTTGACAATGAAAGTAAGCGAAAGGGAGAAAAACGCTCCAGTGAAATTACAATAGAAAATCCCAAGATCGATCCGCACTCCGATGAACAAGTTGAAGTTCATAAATATCTGACAGGAGAGGAAGAAATTAAACTTTTCAATCACAAATCAAAGGTAAAGATGCTGGCAATATAAATGGAGAGGTCAAAAATTCTTCATCACTGCCTCCGGTTGCCTCAGTTTCACAGCTGTATGTTCAACTACTACCACCGGCCGTTGTTAGTACTGGATGGATGGAGAAACCTCATTATTCACTTGGTGGCCAGCAGACAGAATCTGCAACTGATTTAAGGGATCAGCCTTTGAATTCTGCACCCGGACCCACATTTGCAACCTCAAGCTCAATTTTCTGGAGGTCCTGCAAGAACTGTGGATCTTATTGCAGCAATAACTTCAAACTATGCTTAGGCTCCTACTGCTTCAGAGGTTGACCATTCAATGGTTGTAGCATCTGGACATGCTACACCAATGTTTCCAAATGGAGCAACTTTTCAGCCTACAGGCCCAATAATAGGTGCATCTTTTGGTGTTGGCACAAGGTCTGCACTTCATCCTACAATAACTTTTAATGGGGATGCATTTGGTGTTTCCAAAATTTCTGAGCGGCCTAGAAAGGCTTGGATATCTAATTGGCTTAGGGAGGAAATAATTAAGAATAAAGCTTCCATCCTCAGTTATGTCCCAGAGTTCCCTAAAGAGGATTCCCAATCCATGAAAGAAGAAAGTGGTGATAAATCTTCTAGGAGGGGAGATCAAGCAGACAGCAAAAGCATTGATTCTTCAAGATCAACTGAAGATGAGGACGAGAATGAGGTGGACGTGGAGGCTGCTAGATCTGCTGCTATTAACCAGGAAATAAAGTGGGTTCTAACCGAAGTGCTTTTGAAGGTTACTGATGGACTTTTTGATGAAATTGCAACCAAAGTTCTGAATGAAGATGGTCTCACAGTTGAAGTTGACCACAACACTGACTTGTCAAATCACAAAGTATCACCATCTACACCAGCTGGTTTAACAACCATGGATTTTGCAAAGGTTTTGATTCTGACTAAGACGAAGGGAAATGTGTCTGAGGATGCTTGTGAAAAGTCTGTTGCTGCTGGGGATGTACTTGGTCTTGCTAGTTATGCCTTAAGATGATGAGATCTAGAGTTCTGAAACTGAAGGTACTGGAAAAACAAAGGCAAACACTTACAGGTGCAAATCTTGGTGCTGCAAGTATCTGGTTGAATGATGATAGGGCAGCTAGAGAGTTGGCATGCAGTGATAATCAACGCTCCTCTGAGACATAATCTGGAGTTGCAGAAGATGAAATGCGACATGTCTATGATGCTTCCAAGTCCAAGGAGACTGTAATTGGAAAGGCTGATGAGACAGTTGAAAGACGAGATAGAAATTCAGATGCCAGAAAGTCAACAAGGGATGATTCACCAAGCCGAAGTACGAGGCATAGGCCAGATAAGAATGATAGAAACAATAATACAAAGAACCATACAGGGAAAGACAATGATAGGGTAGTGGAAAGTTTTAAGGAAGGAACGGATAAGAAGGGAGATGAGGACCATAGAAGGCATGAAGAAAGGCATGCAAGAAATAAAAGTTTCTTTGATCTTCTCTGCTATCCGAATGCCAAAGAATTGCATAAACATAAAGATTTGAAAACTCCAACTGCTGATATGGATTCTTTATCCATTGAGAGGATAAAAGATTTGAGCTCACCTATTATTGAAGTCAGGGGATTCCAAAACTTGATTGAAGTGAAAGTAAGTGAGGTGAAAGAGAGTGTTGGGACTTTTAGTTCCACTGTATACCAATGTAGTGTGGATTCTTATAGAAGATTTGATGATTCTGTCATGTTTACTAGAGTTGCTGAGAAACACCGATGCCTTCTTAATGCATTTGTTAAGCAGAACCCTGGCTTGTTGGAAAGATCGCTCTCTATGATGCTAAAAGCTCCCGATTGATTATTTTTTCTTTAAGAAAACTCGAGGACGAGTTTTATTAAAGTGGAGGTAATTGATGTAGTACATAATCAAGATTAGTAGTTTCCTACTACAATTGTGATTACTCAAATGGAGTATGTAACCATGATTAGCAGTTTTCTATTACAGATGTGATTTATCTTTTCTAATTCTAATATGTTTTATCTTGTATTCTTATTTCTTGTTTAAAATAGGATTTCTTTTATTTATTGATTAAGATTTTTAATTAGATTAGGATTATTTTAGTTTCATATTATTAGTAGAAGTAGAAAATAATTTTATCTATAAATACAAAGGCATTGTGCACTTTTTTGATACCATCAATTATTATTCAATAACATTCAAGCAAGTTATTCAAATATTGTTCTTAATTAGTACATAATTCTTATTACAAGAATTTCTAAATGCTTTCGCACCAAAATTCTAAGAGGAAAAGAAAAAAAAACTAGAATACTAAAGACGAAACAAAATCACAATCTAAAAAATAATAATAATAAGGAAGCAAAAATCCTATTTTAATCAAGAAAGAAGAAAAAAAGGTAAAGTCCTATTACAACAAGAAATCCTATTATAAATAATAACTAACTTCTATCCTATTTATAATAGGATCATCTTACAACAATCTCTTCTACTCAAAAAAAAACTCATACTCGAGTTTGGTTGAATACGTGAAAAATAACTAATTATGAGGAAAATAGTCAAGAATATATGGTACGTCGAAGATTGAAGAAATATATTCATCTCTTGACGTACTTTGTTAACATCGTTATCTTCAAGAATTGTATTGTTTGATGTCAACTTTGCTCATTTGAACATATAGGCCACGAGTTTAACCGGGAGATTATCTGAAATTTCCAAATAATCAAAAAAAATTCTCGAAATTGATAATCCAATCGAGAAATTCTTCGATATATAAACGGCCTTTAAAAGAGAATATAATCATCATTGGTTTTAACTTTTTGTCTATTTTGATTATGCCCATAAGTTTGACCGTGTTGATGAGTATAGTGGCAAATTGATCGAGTTCGTATAATTGGGGGACCAAGTTGTAATTATCATTTTCATCCTCAAAAGAAAAACCAAACCTTATGTCTCTTTCATGTTGTAGGTGCTCGACCCTTCCATATGCACAAGTATTTGGTTCGATATGTCCTTGCTATCGAAAATTTGGGTAATTTCTTCTTGTAGCCACAAATTGCCTTCAGCTCTTCGAAGATTTTGGACGACCGCATTCCTTGGGCAGAGGGGTGAAGACCTTCATGAAAACCTTGTCCATTGGTCGTCGATCCCATATCTATGGGATTTCAAGCATTAGGGTTATGCAGTTGAACCTTAGTTGATGCATCACTTATTTGTTGGTCGTCTTGATGAGGGTTTGCTTCTTCTTGGTCTTCGTTATGTTATTTGTGATAGGTTAATTATTGATTGTTGCCGACCCTTTTGATTTTGGTCGTTGACGGTCGAACCTTGATGTTGAAGTCTTGTGATTTCCCTAGGGTTCTGGACGACAAGTTTGATGTCATCTGCTAACGGTTTCTCTTCACCTTATGGTACATGAAGTTCTTAGTTGCTATGGTCAGAATGGTCGACGGTCGGAGCTAGTGGCCTTCCATGTCTGAATTCTACAATAAGCGCAGCTAAGAACATCCTGAAGAGTTGTTTTCAGCCTGATAAGTCGGTATTGACATTTTGGAACCTCCAATCATTGTCAATGGCTCAATCTCCACTAGTACCATCCTCAGTCATCATGCCAGGTAAAATCCTTGTTTTGATATAAATTTTGGTGAGGAAGCGGAATTGAGATTCTTGAAATAATAATAAAGTTAAACCAACTAAAAAAAATAGTAGAGAATAATTTTTATTTAAATGAATTGATCAATTGAAAAGTGTACGGAACCTTTGTTTATATAGAAAAAATAATTTTCTAATCTTACCAATATAAGAAAACTAAACTAAAATCCTAAAAGGAAAGAAAGTTATAATCCTAGAAAGAAAAGAAAATCCTAACCTAAAACAAAAGACGAAATCCTATTCTAAATAAGAAAGAAGAAAAAGAGATAAAGAGCCTGTCTGCTAAAAATTTTTTTTCACCTTATAATCAATTTTTGTACCCTTTTTACTCAAATTTGCGGGGCCCACATCTCACAACTAAGGTCAATCTTTGCGGCTCAACGGTAGAATTTGTGCTAAAAATTTATACCAGACAACTTCAAAAAGTCCTATTACAAAAAGAAGCCCTATTATAAAGAATAATTAACTTCAATCCTATTTACAATAGAATTTTCCTACATCATGAACATTCCAACAAATAGAAAATAGCACATCACAAAGAGATGAAACTTAGTACTGTCTTGACATCAAATGTTATTTAGTACAAAAGTCTTGACATAAAATCTATTTCTTCAAGAAAAGTTTAGACGTATGTCAATTTTCCTTAAATAAGAAGGTAAATAGGAACTGACAAAATTGAGCACGAGCTTTTAAAGTTATAGTCTACCAACTGAGAATATAGATAATTTTGAATTTCTAAGGTAATATTTTTTAAAACATGATAAATAGAAAGAAATGATTTTACAACAACAGTGAAGTAAAAATTGCATCTGTGACTTGATGTATCTGATTATAATCCTGACAGATAAAGTTAACTCAAAGATAATGATTTTAATCGGGAGTCAAAATCGAAGGCCATTGTAATCCAGTTTGAGGTATAAGCACCTGAATATTTATCTACCTCCTTGACAAGATGCCTGTTCTAAAAGCATCTCAACGCCAAACATAGACTAATCCAGCATGAAGCATCAATAGGCATTTTACTGATTTTATCTTCTGCAACAGTGCAAACTTCACAATAAATCAGTCTCAGCTGCAATAGAAAGATCTTTTGTTTGGAACAAGAAAATCTTTTAGGCATGGTGCAATATTGACAATGGCAAATCCTGACATGGCTCATGTTTCCATAACAGATTTCTTTGATATTCTTCTTAGCTTCTGATACAGCCCCAGAAACACAATTAGGATTCTTGGAAAAAAATGATTGATTAAAATGTCACAAAAAGGTGCAAGTTACTACATATTACATATCATTTCACATAAAAGTTTTCAACTAAAGCCAAACAAATTCAGACTTTTCATACATAACCAAAAGGTACAAATTTTACTTGCCAAGCACCAGGACCAGCAAAGAACGTATGATCAATCTCTCCATATACTTCCTACAGAAACGAAGTTAAGCTTTTTGGTTAGACCCTTGTTTCTCACCATTAATACAAGTGCCTTATGTTTTGGACAGCATAATGTGTAATGATTTTTCAATAAAGTTTTCCTTTTAAAGATTAAATTTATTTATGATGTTACTTAGAATTTGTAGAGAATCCTACGATTTGATTAGGTCTACAGTTCTTAACATCAGGAGTTTGATTCTCAATTTGACAATTGTACTGTCCTATTGTGAAGCTTAAGACCATTTGCTAGTTATATGACTTGAATTAATAGAATCACAATGAACATGCAACTATCCAACTTTACACAATGCAACCACGTGTTTCTATAAACATAAACTACAAGTCTACAACTTTCAAAAAAAGGAATTTTCCCTTGAGCAAAAGAATCCTTACAAAATTAAAACCCGTATATCTAAATACACCTGACAAACAATTGCACACTAATGACCATCATTCCTACAAAATTCCTAAGAGTTGCAACTTGCAACATACTTTGAATATTTAAAACCAAAGCAGCCATTAACTCCTAACAGAATACTCATTAGCTAACTCCATATTAAAATATACTGACTGCAACATTCACCTCAATCTACAATCGAGTAAAGCTTGAAGCTTTTGAACTTTTACTAAAACACATTTTAACACAGGAAAGACAAATAGTTCATTTCACTAATTAAGCAATCCAAAGCAATCCAAATGCATAAACACAATCAAAAGCCTGATCATTACATGAAACATAAAAAACATTTTCAATTTGTTGAAAAATAATCTCATTAGATACCACTAAGTTATAGCTCCTTCTCACCTACGGCACAGCATCAAGTCTGGCCTCATATACAAATCCACGACAAAGGCCGTCTCCATTCCCTGACAAACATTCAATCCACCTCCATTCCGCCTTCCCCTCCTCAGTTTCTTCCCAAAGAACCAACTTTCCAACCCTTTTTGCAGAAAAACACACCTTGTTCCCCCCACCAAACACCTTAAATTTACTACTCTCCATGAAGCACCTATACATTTCCACTGGCATTCGCCCAACCTCCTCCCACTCCAGGCTCTCCAAGTCCAACCTCAATATCAAGATGGTCGTGCACGAGCTGTGGAGAGCAAACGAGCTTTTTAACCCTCCAACCATGTAAACTTTCTTGTCATTCATAGCCTTCACCAATCGCGGCCGCTTCAAAATGCCAAAGATGTCACCCCACTGCCTCTTCTCCACCCGAACCCACTGCTTCTTTTTCTCCATATCTGTTATTTTTGTCTTATATATAGCCCACTGCGACCTCCACGGCGATCCCACATCACACAACGCCAGAATAGAATCGGATACCATAACAGGACTCCGAGGCTTTGATGGTAAGTTCGAGGTGAACTTGAGCCAATTACTCGAGACACCACCAGAATTAATATCCCCATTAACGCCATTACTTTCAGAATAGTAGAGAATGGCAAGCTCTGTAAGAAGGAGGACAGTATTACCCGAACCAGCTAAAACAGAGCCGTGGCGAGACCAAGCCGAGCCGAGCTGAGGGAGGATTTTGAACTGGCGGATTAAAGGGTTACAAACCACAAGCGACTTCTGGGAAGAATTCCTCACATGGGCAGTATTGGAATTTCGCAAAGGAGGCAGTGCAGCCCAGAGATACAGTAGCCCATCTGCCGAAGTAATCGGATGGAGTGAAGAAAACGGAAGGAAAGAAAGAGAGAATCTGAGCCACTGACTTAATGCAGGGTCAAAGGCATTGAGGTTGGGAAAGGGGGAAATATGGCGATCGGATGGCTTGAGGGCGAGCAGGGATAGGGAGGTGTGCTGGGCGGATAGAAGGTGACGGAATGACGGCGAGGAGAGGGCAAAGTTGAGGGCTTTGCAGACGCACTTGCAGGCGGCGATTTGGCGGAGGGGAAGTTGGAAGAAGATCTGGTGGATAGTTTCTTCTGGCAGATGATTGAGAGGCGAGGATTCCATCGGATTTGATGCCGGCGGCGGTGGACGGAGAATTAGAGGTATGCTGGGATGGATGGAGAGAGGGAGAGAGAGAGAGAGAGTTGTTGACGACCTGAGTCTTGATCCAGACCGCAGTCACGCTTTTAAGCCTGAACTAACGTTTTTAGTTAAACTCGCCTTTAATTTGCAGGCCTTTTACACTAAAGATTATTGCAATGGTGAAAAATAAATGGAAAGAAAATGAATTTCACAGAAAATAATTGTCTAGAACTTGTTTTTCAAGAAATTGTTAATTAAGTGTGTTTAATTAAAATTTTGGATCTTTTTATGTTCGTTTGACTTTATTTTACACGAAAATTGTCCATTAAAGTGATAATTGTTTCCACAATTGGTTATAGAATTTGTTTCTATTGCCAAAAAGTAAAAATAAAAATAAAAATAAAAATAAAAAAATATATATATTTCCAACAAAATTATTTTTTTTATCAAAGTTTAGTATTCATTTGGTTTTGTTTTACATGAAAATTGTCCATTAAAGTGATATTTTTTTCCACAATTGGTTATAAAATTTGTTTCCATTGCCAAAAAGTAAAAAAAAAAAAAAAAATAATTACTAAAAAATAATTTT